GATAGGGCCAGCCTACAGGGGGGAGGGGTTAAGAGAGGCCAGTCTCAGGGCAGGGCTGTGATAGGCCAGTCAGCCTCAGGGTGGGGCGGGGCTTACCTATGTACGCAACTCTGTCCGTCACCATGTACTTAGCGTGGTTCACCCTGGCGTAGGGGATCATCTTCTGCTCCTTGGTGGAGGGCACCTCGAACACTTTCTACAGAGACAGAGGACAGGACGAGCACGGTGAGCCCCCGGCCGGGGAGGGGGAAGACAGCTCGGACAGCGGGAGCCGAGAGAGAGAGAGAGGACTGACCACGTGCAGCGTGCAGCTCAGGGGCGGGTGGTTCAGCACGCCGAGCGACTCCAGGAAGACGAACATGGGCTGGTCGGAGTGCGGCCAGCAGCTGACCAGCAGCCGCACCTCCACGCCGCGCGCGCACGCCGCCGCCCGCAGCGCCGAGTCGATGGGCGGCCAGAACCGGGCCGGCTCCGTGTACCGGGAGGCCGGCAGGAAGTCCATGACCGAGACGTAGACGAAGCGGCGGGCGTCCGAGATCACGCCCAGGATGGCCGAGAGGTCGTCCGTGCGGCCGTCCGCGGACAGCGGCGGGGGAGCGCTCTGCGGGGGAGCGGGCGGGCAGAGAGTCAGGAGCAGCACGCGCACACACACAGTCACGCACGAGCGCTGTCCGCGCGCACTCCGTACTCCCGCCGGCCGGCCCTCACCGACAGGTAGACCTCCGCCGGGAGCCCGTTCAGCTGCAGCTGCAGGGGGCGCTGTGCGCTGGACAGAGCGCTGAGGCGGCGGGGCCAGCGCGCGGGCACTGCGCCCCCTGCTGGAGAGCCCAGGAGCCAGTACGCCTGGAACAGCCGGGACACGTCTCTGGCCAGGCAGCTGCAGTTCGTCACTGAGACGGCCAGCTCCTTCACCTGCGGGAGAGCAGACGGCCAGTTACAGAGCCGGTCTCCTGCAGGGGGGCGGGCAGGCCACGAGCCGGAAGGGAGGCACCTGTGTGAGGGAGCGCCAGTCCATGTTGGCACTGCCCAGGTAGGCGTGCTGGCCGTCCACCTCCCAGAGCTTGGTGTGCAGGATCCCCCCGGTCAGGTTCTGCAGGTAGACCGGGCGCACCTCCGCGCCTGCGCACACAGAGAGGGAGAGGGAGGGACAGGGATCAGACTCGCGCAGCCTTCCCCCAGGGGCTGTGAGCAGGCTTGGGGGTGGGGTGCGGGGTGCGGCCTCCTACCTGCGAGCGCAAGGTCGTCCGTGTCCCTGGGGTACGTCTGGGGGCTGTTGACGGCGATCCTGAGGCCCACCCCTCGAGCTGGCAGGCCCCTCAGAGCCTCGAACACACGCTTCCCCTGCGCCGCACACACACAAGGGACAGCTCATTAACCTTCTGCCCACATGACTAGTGCAGCTGAAAGTCTTTCTTTCTCTCCAGTGCTCCGAGCGTCCGAGCCCTCTCCCTGCCTGCCCTCCAGCGCTCCGAGCCCTCTCCCTGACTCACCTCCAGTGCTCCGAGCCCTCTCCCTGACTC